TCATGGGGGATGAGAGGAAAAAAATGAAACCAGAGCAGGAGACAAACCGTAAGAGACTCTTAATCTCAGAAAACAAACTGGAATGAAAGTGGGGTGGGAGGGATCTAGTGGCAGCGTAATGGACATTGGGGAGGGTATGTGCTATGGTGAGCACTGTAAATTGTGCAAGACTGATGTATCACTGACCTGTACTCTTGAAACAAATAATACAGTACATGTTAATAGAAAGAAAGAAAGAGAGAGAGAGAGAAATTAAGTTAGTTGGGGTTTTTTTTTGTTGTTTTGGGGTTTTGTTCTTTTTTTTTGTTGTTGTTAGATTTTATTTATTTAAGAGAAAGAAGAGAGACAGAGAGAGAGAGGGCACAAGCAGGGGGAAGGGACAGAGGAAGAGAGAGAAGCAGACTGCTCGATAAGAAGGGAGCCCAATGCGGGGCTCAAACCCAGGACCCCTGAGACCATGACCTGAGCTGAAGGCAGATGCTTAACCGACTGGGTCACCCAGGTGCCCCAGAAGGCTGGTTTTAAAACTTAAACAACTTAGGGGATTGTGGGTGGGGGGAAACGAAACAAGCTAAAGCAAAACTATAAGCTAACTAAAATGCAGTACACATCAGATGTCCAAAGGGATAAAAGTAATCCAAGTACAATGATTTAGAAACATTACATAAACTGTAAGAAAAATGGCCCAAATGTTACCAGCTCCTAAAAAAAAGGCTAACTGTCCTTTTTTCAGGTATAAACAGCACCAAATTTGGGGAAAGCTGCACTCCCAGCTGCATGTTTTCTCCCCCTCCTCTGCCTCTCCCAATTTCTCTACTCCACAGCCCTGTCTCTGCTGGAATGAACCACCACACGAGGCTGATCTTCCTAGCTTCTGGCCCAATGCTCAGCAAGCTGCTACTATCTTTGGGAGATGTGCTGGGGAAGGGAGGCCCATCCCCAATCCACATCAAACATAATGCAGGGCCAATGGTCTATATTGTGCAGTATGTGGCACGACAGTAGGTGAACACTACTGACCATTTTACATGCATTGAACCCAAGAGGTATTAATACCACTTCCTTTCAATAGATGAGGAAACAGAGAGGGGAAGCAACTCACCTAAAATAGCTAGTTTACATACTAGCTTACATAGCTAGTAAGCGACAAGGTCTGGACAAGTCCCGAGCTGAATGACTCCTGAGACCATACTCATAACCAGTATGCTACCCTGGCTTTTAAAAACCTTAGCTGTTTTCATGTTTTACCCAAATATACATTCTTTTGCCATATAGATAATCCATAAACTGGTTATTCTGCCTCTAAAAATCAATAGTTGATTATGTATTTCCTAGCTTTAAAAATATTTGAAGATGGGGCGCCTCGGTGGCTCAGTGGGTTAAGCCTCTGTCTTCGGCTCAAGTCATGATCCCAGGGTCCTGGGACTGAGACCTGCAACAGGCTCTCTGCTCAGCAGGGAACTTGCTTCCCCTGCCCCCGTCTGCCTCTTGACTACTTGTGATCTTTCTCTCTGTCAAATAAATAAATAAAATCTAAAAAAAAAAAAAAAAAAAAGGGCAGGCCAAATCTTGCTTAAAAAAAAAAAAAAATTTGAAGATGGTTTTACCTGGTGTGCCTTAAGGCTTCTCTCAACAGCTGTAGTACCTTCAAATACTCCTCACAGGGCACTGAGCTTTTTAGTTTTCTCATTATCCTAGTCTCACTCTACCAAGGGGACTAGGATGCTAAGCAAAATATGTCCATCAGTACATCATATAAGTCATGAACTTACTTGTCTATAGCACAGCATAGACTTATTTAAGTATAGCACTAAGAACTGAACATAATGTTTGCACCATACAGGAACTGGGAAAGAAAAGAGTGGGATTATCATCCCACTTCATTCTAAGCAACAAACATTAATGGAGTCTTTTGTTTATAGCCATATAACCCTGATGACTCATATTTAGCTTGAAATCAACTAAAATCTTGATAACCTCATCACATGGACCGAAAAGCCATTCCTTATCATCCTACACTTGCTTAATAGTGAATTTAGTAATTCAGTAAAAGGAATGAAAACTGGGGCGCCTGCTGATACAGTCAGAAGAGCATGTAACTCTTGATCTCAGGGTTGTGAGTTCGACCCCCATGTTGGGTGTAGAGATTAGTAAAATAAATAAGCTTAAAAAAAAAAAAAGCAATGAAAACTGAAAGAATTAATAGCACAAACAAGATAGCAAGCCAGGAGACCTACTATGGAATATGCTGTTTTTAAGCATTTCCATAGCAATCTTAGGGTACTAGTTATTATGAATCTGTTCTCATCATTAAAAGGATCTAGATCTGTAAGACAAGACTGGTTATGTATCATGTTAGGTAGAAAATCTGCTAGATCTTTTATCTTAACATAAAAAATACATGCACACCTGACAACATTAAATGCAAACAGCTTACTGTCACAATCAGGATACTCTAGAGCATGAAAGAGGGGACACGAATAATAACTGCACAGGGAAATATGTAAACGGGGCCTGTCCAGGCAAACCTAGGGGGATGGCCACCCAATATCAGATGCAACTGTGTAAACCATCTGCTTCAAATAAGAAAAAGAGCTTGAATTTTCTACCCAGCAAAGGCTGATGAAAATTCTGTGGCACACCCACGGCTGCTTATTTAGCATGCTGTCTTCGTTCTACTTTAGGGATCAAAGGGCTTGCAGAGGTTTCCCTAAACCTCAGCTTTTACCCTATTTTCCATGCTAGCCCTGTCTTCCCACACCAAAAAAAAAAAAAAAAAAAAAAAAGAGAGAGAAGATTTTACAGTCCTCAACCAGGTATTCTTCTCATACAGAGATTTTGAGGAATGCAATATTTATGGCAGAAAAAGGACAACATCTGAGTTTACCAAGCATTTAAACAAACCCTAAACTATTTCCTTTGTCTCATAAATACTCTATAGGTTAATGAGGCATTATTTTCCACATTTTACAAACAAGAAAGCTAAGGTTTAGAGAGCGAAGGCCAAAGAACTTTCAAGAGCCACTTAGGACTAGAACCCAGGTCTGGAGTTCTAGTCTAGTTACTACATAAAACCACATGGTTCATCACTTAAATGCGTTTTTCCTGTAGTCTGCCTTTCTTCAGTGACATACATAGCTGAGATTTTATCTTGATAGTGACTCCCATTTTCAGTAAAACCAATTATAAGAAATTCTGAATCCACAACAGAAAAAGTATTAATTATCTGTATTACAAAAAGAAAAAAGATCACAGATTTAAAAGTATGCAAAGTGTGCATTCCTTTTTTCTTTCAATAAAAGTATGACAACTCACAAGAAAATGTGATTTATCTACAACTTGCCAGAAATCGGTTTATTTTATAAAGTTAAATATACTAATAAATGGCAACCATTTCCATATTATCTCACTGGATTCAAAAAAAGGCCTCCAAAACAGGCAACTTTGGGGATAAGGAACCTAAACTCAAAAGATGAAGTGACCTATACAAAATCTCACTGATAGTAAGTGACAGAGCTAGAATGGAAACCTTCTGGAGTTTTCTTACCACTCAAAGTCCTGAATTCAAACCTGGTACTGCTATTCAACATGTAGTCATTTCTTGAGAGGATATTACTTGTCCTTATCTAACTTTAGAACTTTGGATATAAAAGCATGACTGTTTCCAATCAATATTTTGTTCAAACAAAATGAAGAGTTAAAAGATATGTCAGAACAAAGGTAAGTAAGAAAAGAAAAAAGAACTAGAAAGAAAACCCTGGGGTCAAATAACATGTAGAGACTCAGAAGATGAGAAGGAGCCAGCAATAGACTGAGAAGGAACAGCCTACTAGGGAAGATAATCAAGAGAGTAGGGTCCCAGAAGTGAAATGAAAAATTGGATTTGGGGAAAGGAATGATCACTATGTCAAAGTCTGTTGAAGGACAATTAGGAAAGCTGGTAGATGACTCAGATTTAGTAATGTGGATGTGCCAGACTGCAAAAAAAGGACTAGAAATCCTTTGCAGTGACTCCCACCAAGAGTGGGGTCTACTGCACCCTGCCTCAATCTGGGCTTGGCTGCATGAGTTGCATCCTCAGTAGGACTTGGCAACCATGAGCACACTTTCACCATCATGCGAACGAGCATGCTGGAAATGAAACATACACGGCCCCTGCCCCAGCTGATAGCAAGCCAACTACTAGATACATGAGTGAGGCCATTCTAACCAGGAAGACCAGTCAGGTCAGCCCCAAACAGAACTGCCCGACAGAAAAATAAACAAATAAAATGGTTTTTGTTCTAAGCCACTAAATTTTGGGCTGCTCTGTTATGAAACAAAAGCTAACTGATAAAGAGGAAGACAGTGATGACAAATCAGAGCTGTTTCAATGGAGTAGCATGCGTGAAAATTTGATTAGAGCTGGGTTAAGAACGAATGGACAGAGTGGAATGTACTGCCTCTGGCTGATACCAAGTGAGCTTTGGAGGCCTCCTTTCCTAACAAGACCATTTTTTCAACCAGGAAACTACACCATTACACTGCTTACCACGTGTTCCCTATGTTTTTCCAATGCCTCTACAGGTAGACATGGTGGCACAATGACAAAAACCTTTCTACTAAAGCACTTAATGGGGTGCATCCAGTTACACCCAACCCCAGCATACCTCTTCAGAAGATGTGCAGATGGTGGAGGGATGAGGGAACTACATACTCTGCTGCTTCACGGCCAATAAACCTAACTTTATATTTACACCTATCACTAGAGAGGGGGTGTGTGTGTGTGTGTGTGTGTGTGCATGCACATGTATCTATATGCATATGCACAAACACGCATGTGCACACATAACTCCTTAGAGTGCACCTAACCATCTCTTGACATGTCTTAGCATCCTCATTACGTCTCATTTTCCAGGTACATTCTCTATCTGAAAAAGAATTGTTATTACACTTTAAAGCACCTACAAAAATTTCAAAAAACAGCTTTTTAAGATGTCAAAAATATAGAAATAACTTACTTGGCAATCCGCAGTTTCCCAACTTCACCTCTTCCAGGGGCTTTAGCCCATTGCTGTGACAAATATTTAGGAACCTGAAAAAAATAAATAAAACACTAGTAAGTCTACGCTTTAGATGCTAACAAACTTCTTAAACATAAAATGATATACTGCTTCTATTTTACTTCCTGCCTATAGTAAGTAACTGATCATTGAGTATCAGCCTTCCATTATACATTTTGCACTATAAGGGATACTAAGAAATCATTTTAAATTTCAAAGATCTTAAAGTCAATCAAGCTGGTGACCCAATATTAACACTAGTCAAATATCTTAACAAAATATTAACTTATGTTCCCAAACAAGTCCAGTGAAAGTTCAGACATGAGAAAGGCTACCAGAAGAGGTTTCTCAGAGGAGTAGAATACTCTAACATATTATTTAGAGATACCACAAAATTTAAGAAGATTTCAAAAGTCAAGTTTTACTGTAAGATAATAACTGACCAATGATAAAGGATCTGCTGAAATAAATGATTAAATATCATAGCTAAATAAGGAATAACACGGAAGACATGGAGAGATGGAGGAGAAATGAGCTGGGGAAATTGGGAGGGGGAGACAAACCATGAGACTGTGGACTCTGAGAAACAAACTGAGGGTTTTGGAGGGGAGGAGGGTGGGAGGTTGGGTGAGCCTGGTGGTGGGTATTATGGAGGGAACGTATTGCATGGAGCATAACATATTGCATGGAGCATAAACAATGAATTCTGCAACACTGAAAAGAAATTTAAAAAATAAATATATTTAAAATATATATATATCATAGCTAACATCTATGTAATACTACTTTCCTGACACTGTTACAAGTTTCCATGTATTTACACATTTAATCCTCACATCTCTATGAGGTAGGTACTGTTAATTACCTCATTTTACAGATTATGAATCTGGGATACCCGGGGATTATATAAGTTAGCCACGATTATATAATGTGTAAATGATGGAACCCAGGCAGTCTGGGTAACTAGATACGTATAACCAGAAGGATTTTAATTTCCCAAAAGGTTAAGAGACTATATGCTGAATCACTAGTATTTCTTCTAAGAGGCAGTCCGAACTGTGGAATCAGCACACACCTTCAAGGTTAGCCTGTTGTGAGAAATGAGATACCGCATACAAAGCAGGAAGCATAAAACCTCACATGTGGCAAGTACTCAATGAGTGTCAGGTGTCACTACTATTTCCCCCAGCAATCTTGGGAATGATAACATGAACATCAGTGTAGAACTGAGTCAGAGCTTCCAAAGCTGGAAAGAAAAAAAAATTCTATTTACCAGATTTCATTTGCAAAAAGAACCACTTGATTATCAGTCAAACAAATGGCACTGCTTTGTTTAGATGTAGTAAAAAATCACGAATAAAAGGTTTAAAAGAAAATTCTAATGGTCTTCAATTATGTATGCATACTTTACACCAAAATTATTGAATACTAGTCATATTCCCTAATAAAGCCCCTAGGAGAAATATGGTGTCTTTTCTTCATCATATTCCAAGTTACTGGTTCAAATGGGTCCTCTACACATATAGACACCACAAGACTTTCTCCCTGTCAGTAGTGGTATCCCTTCCATAATTTGTATTTAAAGCAATCACACTAACCACTAACTTCCTGGCTCTCTCCTCAGTACTTCAACGGTTTTTCCATCCCTTCAAATCACTGACGCTAACATCCCTGCACTTTTCCCTAGCTGTGTATGTCCTGTCTTCACATCAATCATTCCCTTGCCCCTACCTCCATCATGCTGGCCTGGCAGAACCTTAATCCCGATTAAAGCCAATCTCTACTGCTACTTAATTGGTTTGATTTGATTGTGTTACTTCTCCACGCTGTACCTGAGCAGCTGGAGAAAATTTCACAGTGATGCTAACTAGTCTCCCTTGAAATATATGGCTACTAACATCAAGTAAGCCCTTCAAGATGCTTGGCAATTGAACTCCATCACCCTAGCCAAACCATTCTCCCGCTACAGCTGAAATACAAGTTCTCTTCACTTCTCAAGCCAACAGTAGCATCTCTCCCTCCCTTCTCTTTCTGTGCTGATAACCCAACTTCTCTACCAACTAGGGAACAAGGATCAAGAGAACCTCTACAGCTACCATGTAGCCACAGCTGAGGCCTTTTACTCTGACTTCCTCTAAAAACAATAGATGAACAATGGTCAGTCCCTTCACTGTGCACTGAATTTCTTCCCCTGTAGTCTAATCAAGGACATATTTTCTTCAATCCTATCATTTTTCTCCTCTTATCTCCTTAATCATTCCCCCATCAGAATGATGACCATGATGATGACCGCCAACACTACAGTGTTCACTACATGTGGCAGGAACACTCTTAAAATGGCTCCCAATGATCTTCGCCTCCTGATATTCACAGCCTTGTGTAATCACCTCTTCTTGAGAAGGGGATCTGTGACATACTCCTCATCTATACAACATGGCAAAGGTGATGGGATGTTACTTCCCTTCCCCTATAGCTAGGATTCATTTGTTTATTTTTATTTTTTGGCTACAAAATTTGTCCAAGTCTTTTTAAATGGCTTCCACATCCAACATGTGGCATGAACTTACAACTGTGAGATCAAAAGTCACATGCTCTACTGACTGAGACAGCCAGGTACCCCATTTTCTTCCCCCCCCTTTTTTTTTAAAGATTTATTTATTTGAGACAGAGAGAGAGAGAGAGAGAGAGAGAGAAGAGCACGAGCACACAAAGATGGAGAAGGAGAGGGAGAAGCAGAATGCCTGCTGAGCAGGGAGCCCGATGTGGGTGGGGTTCCATCCCAGGACTCTGGGATCATGACCTTACCCAAAGGCAGACACTTAACCTACTGAGCCACCCAGGCGCCCCTATCTTTTCTTTTTAAGTTTTTATTTTCATTTCCCAGTGCTCATCAAACAACATGTGCATTCCTTAATCCCCATCACCTATTTCACCCATTCCCCCCATTCACCTCCCCTCTGGTAACCATCAGTTTGTTCTCTGTAGTTAAAAGTCTGTTTCTGGGTTTATTTCTCTTCCCCCACCTTTGTTCACTTGTTTTGTTTTAATTCCACATATGACTGATATCATAAGGTATTTGTCTTTCTCTGACTTATTTCACTTAGCATAACACTCTAATTCTGTCCATGCTGCTGTAAATGGCAAGACGTCATTCTTTTTTATGGCTAAATAATATTCCTGTGTGTCTGTGTCTGTCTGTCTGTCTGTGTGTGTGCGCGCGCGCGCACACGCGCACACACACATCTTCTTTATCCATTCATCAACTGATGGACATTTGGGCTGTTTCCGTATCTTGGCTAGTATAAATAATGCTACTACAAACATAGGGGTGCATATATCCCTCTGAACTAGTGTTTTTTCATTGTTTGGGTAAATACCCAGTAGTGTGATTCCTGGATCAAAGGGTAGCTCTACTTTCAACTTTCTGAGGAACCGCCATGCTGTTTTCCACAGTGGCTGCACCAGTCTGCCTTCCCACCAACAGTGCAAGAGGGTTCCTTTTCTCCACATTGGATGTTACCTGTGATTAGGTTACATAAGACAGAAACTTGTACCTTGCTTCTCTTGTTTTTTCAGTCTGCACACTTTGATGAAGTGAGCTATCATGTGAACATGTCACTTGTGAGATATGTGTTGTTTCCACTGTCTCCATATTCACTAAAGAAGATCAGATGGAGACAAGATATTAGGTACAACAGGGGATGTCTTCTCAGATTTCCAAAGACAGTAACAGAAAATGACTCACTTAAGCATTACTTCTGCAGGGAAACTTCCCTTGACCCTCTAGACTATGTCAAATTCATTATCCACACTGACAGAAGACTATTCCTGGCTTCAGTGTCCAGAGAGATAAGTCTGTAACTGCTTTTGTTAGAGCTAATATTTAATGGATGCCTGTCTCCTGCGGTAGACTATAAATCCCAGTTCACAGAGACGGGGCCATGTCTGTTTCGACTCACCATAACATACTCAGAGCCTAGCACAATGACTGGCAGTCACTGAAAGCTTGTGGGATGAATCAGTCCACACACCCGTTCATACACGGCAGGCAGAGCAGTAAGGTCAACCATGACTCTGAAGCTACAGTGCTAAGGTGATATGTATAGATGTTACTCCCCTGAACTTCTGTGCAACTTTACTTCAGCAAATATCTAGTTCCCTAACTACTAGTCTCCAAACCCTGTTTCTCCCGGAATACAAGCAAATTAAGGGCACTGTAATGGACACTGTGATGTGACATCCATGTCCCCCTTTCGGACTGAAGGCCTTTTTCTCCCAGCTGCTGGGAGTGTGGCCACAGAGAGCCCTTTGCTGTTAGCCCCTCTTCAGCAATGACTTAGCTGAATAGAGGTGATGTGGGAACTGGCTCCTTCCTTCCTTTTTTTTTTTTTTTTTTTTAAGATTTTATTTATTTATTTGAGAGAGAGAGAGATCACAAGTAGGCAGAGGGGCAAGCAGAGAGGGGGGGGGAAGCAGGCTCCCCACTGAGCAGAGTGCCGGATGCCAGGCTGGATCCCAGGACCCTGAGATTGTGACCTCAGCCAAAGGCAGGGGTTCAACCCACTGAGCCACCCAGGCGTCCCTTTTCTTTTTTCTTCTGGCCAAGATCACACTCTTTCTAGGGCAAACCACATACAATGACAGGTCAACATAGGGTATACCTCACCCCAAATCAGGACACCTGGAAGACTCCCTGTGGAATCATCCTCAGCCTTCCGTGAGACTGCATCATACCCACTTACCAATCCTGTTTAAGTCTTCTTCCTTCCACAGGTGATGATCCCGGGAATACTCCCTAATCATCTAAACCTAATCATCTCAGAATCAGCTTCCTGAGAAGCCCAGTCTGTGACACGGAGCCTTTACTCCCATGTTTTCTTAAAGATCACCACATGGAACTGACGAGATCCAAGGTCACAAAAATGAAGTCCCCAGGAGCGCCTGGGTAGCTCAGCTGGTTAAACATCTGCCTTCGACTCATGTCATCTCAGGGTCCTGGGGCTGAGTCCCGCATTGGGCTCCCTGCTCATCAGAGAGTCTACTTCTCCCTCTCCCTCGGCCCCTCCCTCTCAAGTGTGCTTTATCTCTCTCTCAAAGAAACAAAGAAGGCAATGAAGTCCTCACACACCTCTATTCCCCAGGGAGATAACTCATGAAAGAGACCTAAGCTGGAAAAAAGACATTTCCTACTCTTGGCATGAGCTGTGTAGCCAAACAGACCTAAATTTGAAACACTGTTCCTTACTTGGGTAAAATAACCTCCCTAAGCCTCAATTTCATCATCTGGAAAATGCAGATATTTAGTATCTATTTCATAGGTTTGCTGTGTATAAAATACTTGGTACATACGAAAACTAAGTTCCTTTTTTGTTTTTCTTGATCCTTTCCTCCAACAAGCATTAGTCAAAATGCCTAGAAGAGGAAAGCTGACTGGGTTAGAAACAACTTTCTGCTGGCTAGAAAGCTGCTGCTTAGACCTATTCAGGCCTTCTTAATACCTCCACTTGGGGATACCTGGGTGACTCAGTCAGTTAAGCATGTGCCTTCGGCTCAGGTCATGATCCCAGAGTCCTGGGACAGAGTCCCATATCAGGCTCCCTGCTCAGTCGGAAGCCTGCTTCTCCCTCTGCCCTTCCCCCTGCTCGTATTGTCTCTCTCTCTCAAATAAATAAATAAAATCTTAAAAAACAAACAAACAAACAAAAAACCTCCACTTGTTCTTTCCCCAAAAGGAGGTAGCATTTGTTATAATTCAAGCCTCCCTATACTACTCATTACTTACAAAAATCCCACCACTCCTAATAACCTTCCTAACTTTATCTCCTCCTCTTCCCCATCATGTATGTACTTTACCCTCCAACCAGCCGTAACTAGAGATGATTTTTACAGAAGTCTAAATATTGGGAGCCATACAACAGAACTATGCTAAAATATTTCTAAATATTCTACAATTTTTAAACCATGATTTGTTATAAACTGGGTAGGAATAGTGTGACTAGTTGTCAATCTAAAGTGGCACAGACTGAGCAAGAGAACAGGATAATACAAACTATAAGTACTAGCTCTGTAACAAGGTTAAAAACTGTGACTTCACGTTTTAGCAGATGGTATCCACCATAAAGTTAAATCCAACCATGTCTATTACCTATCAAAACTTATTTGGGGCGCCTGGGTGGCTCAGTGGCCTCTGCCTTCGCCTCAGGTCATGATCTCAGGGTCCTGGAATCGAGCCCCGCATCGGGCTCTCTGCTCAGCGGGGAGCCTGCTTCTCCCTCTGCCTGCCTCTCTGCCTACTTGTGATCTCTCTGTCAAATAAATAAATAAATAAAATTTTTTTAAAAAGCTTATTTGGATCATCAACCTCTTGTAGATTTAAGATATTCAAAACCTCAGAAATGGCATTTTATTAAGCCAGAACAGTACAGGCACTGGATATTCTGAGATAGAATCTTCTATATTTGCTTTTTTCTGAACCCTCTAGTTCTCCTCAGCCCTTCTGGGAAGTTTTTTCCTAACTAATCAACTCCGTAAGATCTTCTTAAAATGTCAGCTTCTCCATGAAATCTTCCCTGTTCCAGCCAGAAAAACACCTAGTTTCCTGCTCAAATGCTCAGCGATCTTACATGTATATTATATCTTACTGTATTTCTGTTTTATACCTTTCTAGTGATGGAATTAATACAATATGTACAAGATGGCCCATAAACTTTGAGATTCTTTAAGAAGAAATTTATATATTTTGCAGCAAATGATCCTCAAAGAACAGAACTCAAAGTATTATTTATAATGAGAAATTTAGGGTGGTCTGGGGGCGGTCTCCTTTTTAAATTTTTTTTTGTTTAAAGATTTATTTATCTATTTATTTGACGGAGACAGCAAAAGCCAGGGGAGCTGCAGGCAGAGGGACAATGCAGGCTCCCCACTGAGCAAGGAGCCTAACATGGGCTCGATCCCAGGATTTGGATCATGACCTGAGCCGAAGGCATATGCTTATCTGACTGAGCCACCCAGGTGCTCCTACACTGAGAAAGACGAACATATAGAGAAAAGACGTCAAATCAGTATGTAATTCTGTTCAAAAATTCTGCCTGGAGAAGAACAAAGACATACTTTCTAATATGTTATAGTTTAATATCATGCAAAGAAAGCCAAAAATTGACTACTACAATTTGATGTCCTATAATTTGTTCCTGTAATTCAGAGATGAAAATCCAAATATGCTCCCGTAAGGGCATGAAAATCACACTGGATACTAAGTCCACTGCAAATGAAACAAGTTCAAGTTATCTGACAGCTATGCAAATCAAACCCCGTAGTCTACTGGGTCTCTAATGAAGCAGAAACAAAAGTTGTCAAATAAAGAACAGGAGTGGACTTTAGGGCAGAAAGTATTTGCTAGCAATTCTTGTCCTCTTTCAGAGATAAACCTGTCAAAGAACAAGAACTGGCAAGAACGTCCTTTCAAACCCTGGAAAGATCTATCTGTGAGCATGTGCTTTTTTTGTTCTTCTTTCTGATAATACTTAAGATTAGAAAAAGAAGATATACTCTATGCCAAGCTGGTAAGAAGAAACAGTGATAATGTAAATAGTAAATAGTCTAACAACTATCTTTACAAAACGAGAACAAGTCATCGGGTTGAATTCTTTTCAAAGAGATAAAATGTGTTCAAATATCCACACATGAGAGAACACTAAAAATTTTAACTTCATTTTATTTTTTAACTTCATTTTAGGTTATATTCTTTCACATTCTCACATAGTCAGTCACTAAATCCTGACAACTTTCACTGAAAAAGTTCCCCTAACCCCCTCCCCGCCAGACTTCATTATCACATCCTATGATGCTGTGATAATTTTCCAATTTTGACTCTGGTTATCTTCCTCTCAAGCTTTTTTTTTACCCCCTTGAATTATTTGCATCCTTGCCTTACTCAAAACCCTCACTTGATGCAGACTAAAGTTAAGCCATCCCCATTTCATAATATGATAATATGAGTATATGGTCCCAAACTTTTTTTACACAAACCCTCCGCTCTAATAGAGCATAATAATCTCCTTTGTTTTCCAGGACACACCACGTTAAAATGCATTTTCAGTCTTCCATTTCTTTTCCACTCTCCATAATACACTATGTTAATGCCTCTGTCCACCCACCCAACTGCGTACGGCAAACAATATTTACTGAGCATTTATTGTGCTTCAAGAATTAATGCATCATCTCAAGTTCCACCACTTTTTCAAGCTCTTTCAATCTGCAAAGGAATTCTCCTTAATGATTCTCCTCCATTTGGCACCCAACAGGAGAAATGCCTTAGGAGAAATTTACCCTAGCCTGTTAGGTCATACTGATATAGCCTTGAGAAGTCAAATGAGTGCCACGGAGTAAAGCTGGGGTTGAAGAATAATAAATAAGAGATCATTCATTCATTCATTCCATATCTGGTGACCAATTATCATGTGTCAAACCCAATTCTGGTTGGGACAGGCAAGGATCCCATTCTCACAGAATGTGAGTGCACCCACACGAGAGGAGGCGGTAACCAACACTAAACACATGAACATACAATCACTTTAGACTGGAACAAGTGCTTTGAAAATATAATACAAGTTTGACATGACAGCAACTGATCATAAGGGACCTTTTTTAGAAAGGTGGACAGGAAGCGCCCCCCCCAGATTTAACTAATGAGAACTCAGCCATGTGATAAGTTAAAAAAAAAAAAAATTAAAAAAACCAAAGGTCCTAGTTCAAAGATTGGCATAATCACATTCTGAACATAAATATGTCTCATGAAACTCCAAGAGACAACACTCCTTGATATGAAAAAGTAGAGCACAAAATACTGTGCTCACTCAGGGCTAATCAAGATTGCTGCCTTTCCAAAAAAAAACACTCTAAAAAGAACACTCCAGTTCAATGGCCTCTCCTTCCGCGAGTTCAGAGCTCTCTCAGCTATCCTGAGCACTCCAATAAGAGCCATCAACCTAAAAGAACACGTTAAGGGTACACAGTGACCCGTTCTACTTTCTGGCCGAGAAGATTGTACAGGTAGCAGATACTCAACTTCCTTATACAGACTCACGACTGAAATCACTTTCACCAAAAGGAGACACAGAAATACTCTTCAATCTGGGGTAAAGTACATCACTCAAGTCGGAGAACATCAGCACTGGACCCCAGAAAAACCACACATGGTGGGCAAAGGAATCCGTTCCAGGCAGGTTCGGACTCTTAATTGTCTCAAAGACTGCGTCCCTCAACTAACTGCCTCACCTGCAAACTAGTCTGCACGACTCCTGCCTCTGAAGATATGTGTAGCTCTAACGAGACAGCCATAGAGAACTTTAAAAGGCTTACGGAGTGGGACAGTTTCAAGTCACTTAAACTACTTTAAGTAAAAGGAGCGCAAGCCAGAGCCGCACGAACACACCTTGACCAGCCACACTCCGGTATTCTGTTTGGCGCCGGTCAGATCGAGTTCCCCACGTTCCGCCATGGGTCTGCTGCGGGTGCAGGCGAGCGGACCGGAGCAGCTGCCCGGGAGCTGGGGGCCTGCGGTGCAAAGGACCGGAGAACACTGTGTGCCTCTGCCAGAGGCGAAATAGGAAGAAACCGCGTCCACCCGCCACGATACAGGGAATTCCCGGAAAGAGAAACACGCCGCTGGGAGGCGGGAACTGCGCTTGCGCGCTGCCACCGTCGGGACGGCACGCCGGGCGGGACAAACCTCCTAGTTCAGCCCTCGCTTGAGTGGGCGTGGTTATTGTAGCTGGTTGTGTCAGAGTGATCAAGACATAGGGTAGGATGAAAACAAAATGTCCACGATACATTTAAAGACCAGGTCAGCATAAGTGAAGACAGGCAGCGTCAAAACAGAAAAATGGGGTTCAAAAACACAAAAGCTGTCAGTATGTGTCCAACCCTGGCCAAGAGAGAAGCAACATTTTGAGGACAGGGTGGGAATAATAAAAAGAGTAAGTGAATTTTAGCACACATGGGCGCCGGGATCAAACAGTGTAGCCCTGGGAATACTAAAAACATGCTGTTTGTAGACCAGGAAAAAAAAAAAAAGTGTCTCAGGTGACAGGCTATCCTGAGCACTTCCAATTAAACAAGCAGAGCGCACTCCTTTCAGACTCCAAAACACAAACGCGGAGTCTATATAATTAGATCAAGGACAGTAGACTGTAAGACAAACCTGATCGTTAAATTCCCCCGGCTTAAACAGTTTCCTCTTTGTCTTCTTGCCTCTAGCATTAAATTCAATTTTCTCTTCGAAGGCCCTCTCAATATGATCCCTGCCGCTCAATCTACACATGGAACCACACGGAACTGTCAGACCTCCCCCAAACACATCGGGATCTTCGCTCTCAATTATTTCAGAGGCTCTGTACACTGGATGCCCTTTACTCATAGATGGATGCCATATTCCCCCCTTACTCTCCTTCTCACCCCTGTCCTCTGATTGGCAAATTCCTACTTGGGTTTCAAGACTTATGGTAATGTCACTTCCTAGGAAACCTTTTATTAAATTCCCCAGAGGAAGTTGGTTTTTCTTCACATCACAGTGTGATACTTAATCACCATGAGCTACTGTATACATGTTTACATGCTGCCTTTGCTTTCTAGAGCTCCTCCTAGGTGGAAACAGTGTTTTATTCATTTTGTATCCACAACAGCTAGCACAGTACTTGACACATTGTCAGATTTCAATGGACTTTAGCTGAATGAACATTTGCTGAAAGAGAAACAAAGAGCAAAATGTAAGAATGGTATTGAATCAAACATTACTATGATGCACGTAATCCAGAAAAATCCATGCCTGCGCAGCATAGAGCTAGAAAAAGTTGTCAGGTTTCTGTGATCAGCTGAGAAAACTAATAGGAAAGATGGGATACCAGGCATGGGTTGAAAAGGAAGGTTACATTCTTGGGTCACAGCTTACAAAAAGGCCTTAAAACATATAAAGGGTGAAAAGAACTTCTTTGAGCTTTGATCAAACAGAAGGAATAAAATGAAATATGAGACCTTAAGGAAAGGGAAATAATGTAGCCTGGAGCCCCCTAGTAATGGACTTTAAAGAATTAAGGGTGCCTGGGTGGCTCAGTTGGTTAAGTGTCTGCCTTAGGCTCAGATCATGATCCCAGGGTCCTGGGATCCAGCCCTGCATTGGGTTTGCTGCTCTGTAGGGAGTCTCCTTCTCTCTCTGCCTCTCCCCCAACCCAGCTTGTGCTTTCTCTTGCGCACGCTCGCTCTCTCTCTCTCTCTCTCTCTCAAATAAATTTTTTTAAAAAGAAAAAAGACCTTTGATCTTTGGTCACGGGAAGACTTAAAATGAGTGTGGGTGTGTGTATACATGGAATGAGAGAGGACAAATGGGTAAAGAAGAAATGGCTAGAGAAGAAAAAGAAAAGGGCAAGTTTTTAAAGTGATTACATAGGGTGGTGTGCCCGCCTGGCTCAATCAGTAGAGCATGCGACTCTTGATCTCCAGGTCCTGAGTTCAAGCCCCATATTGGGCATAAAGCTTACTACATACATACATACATAGGGAAGAAGAAAAAACTATTTAGCACCCCATCCTCATATAGTGTTGAACGAAGAACAAACTTTCATCTGTCCTTTTCAAACTCCCAGCTTGAGGAGGAATGCATATGAGCTGTGAGAGAAATGGACAATGTCTCTGTTGTTCCAGGTGAAGTGGGGAGACCCCCAGGCCCTGAGGCCTTCACCCTGCCTGTCCCCAGGCTGTTGCTGGAGGAGCTTAGTCTCCCCAAAAGAAAGAAATCAGGACGGACCAGACGCAGTTGTTAAGCGGTGCAGGTGAAGAGTTTAACTAAAGTGATGATGTGAGAGTGGGCAAGCTCAAGGGAGAGCTGTGTGGCCTGGGGTTTGGGGTTCTATCCTTGATTGGTAGTCACTAACAAGAGGATGGAATATTTATTATTTGGGGACTGGATTTCTTTGGGAGCATGGTTTCATGCTTTTTCTCCCTTACTTGATCAGGGTCTTTGGCCTTCTTCGTCTTGGGCCTATCTGATTCGATCCAACTTCTTGTAGCTTTGTTTGACAGTGCTGTCCAGACAGGTATCTGATTTTCCTGATAGCTGACCCCGACTCTCCCTTTGCTGGCCTCCAGCTAAGGAAGGAGAGTCAAAGAAAGGCAGACAGGAGCAAAGGGCTCCCGTCCTAGAAGAGGAAACTACCCTTAAAAGGAAAAAGATCCCATCCTGTTATTCTACACCATGCTGGAAGGAGCCCTCCACTCTTCCCTATGTTCACAACTGTTACGTAGATGAGTATGTGGACAAAACCTGATTGGGTGACAGGTTCCTGGAGGCTTAATCAGATTAAGACAGCCCACTCATCATCTCCTAAAAACCCCTGGATTTAAATACCAAAATGGCAAGCCCCTTGGGTCCCCTGCCTCTTCGGAAGCTCTGTACTTTGGCCCAATAAACCCCTCTGCTGCCCACCACTTTTTGTCGGGTCTACCCCTTCATTCTTTGAAGTGGCATGACCAAGAGCTGCAGTGCTAAAGGAAAATCCTGAAACGCAGACATCCAGTTAGAACCTAACTACTGCCTAACTAATGCCGTGAACCAGAGTCACAGATTTACTCTGGAAACTAAAAAAATATTAGATCTCAGCTAGGTTTTTCACCTTCCTGAGGGCTCATTATATGCCAGATAGCAATAATTTTAGCCTAATCCTACTTTGTGTTCCTTTTTGTGTTCCTTCCACCATGATCCCACACCCTTAATATTCATTCTCAAACACACATGTTCCCTGGATTGCTACTTGTATAAATTATAAAACTGGGGCACCTGGGTGACTCAGTCAGTTAGTTAAATATCTGCCTTTGACTGAGGTCATGACCCAAGGGTCTTGGGACTGAGCCCTACTCAGCTGGAAGTCAGCTTCTCCCTCTCCCACTACCCCTCCTTCTACTCATGCTCTCCAAGTCTCTCTCAAATAAGTAAAATCTTCAAAAAAAAAATAATAAAACTTAAGTAGTTCTTTTGAAGTATAGTGCACTTCTCCTGGGTCCATACTTTGTACCTCATCCTTGGGATCTGCTGGAACTTGAATCTAGTTACAGGTCTAGGAGCAAAAAGAGGTGGTGAATGGTGAGTCCTGAGAATTAGCATTGCAGGGGAAGACAACTGCCTTATGGGAAGCTATCACAAAGTCTTCCTTAATCTTCTCAGAGGAGGTTAGGGGATATAGGGGACAACATCACTGGAGGTGGGGAAGCTACTTCTACGTGGGGATGGGAAGGCCACTTCTACTGGCAAAGAAGATTCCTCAGAGTCTAGGGCTTCAGCATTCCCAGCTCCATCCTCATCCGGGTTTTCCCACACATCCCCATTCCAAACACACAGGATCCCATCCTTTCTGAATCAATGCCCTCATTTAAATATACCCTTTGCGTCTGCGAGTTCAACCTGTGTGGTTAATTCAGCCAGTCCCAGAATGAGTATCTGTGTTTGATTTCTAGCCCTCTCAGCCCCTCAGCTACAGGAGATAAAGGTCATTATCTTCTTTATCTTTTCTGGGTTTAGCTTTCTGGTCCTGTATGCATGCTTGAGCTGGGAGTTCAAGTCCCTGAGCTTGTCTTTTTCTTTCACCACTCTGTCCAGCAGCATTAGGAGCAACCAGCCAATTTCATTGGATTTGTTAGTTTCCCAAAAATGTTTGAGCGTATCATATACACAGTCACCCAGGTCCTTGCTTCTTATAAGTTGTCAATTAGGCATAGTCGATGCCGGTATTTTGTGTATCTCTAGAGCCCAGTCACACAATGGACTCTCAGTGTTCTCTTACTACCCTAGAGTCTTTAGCATCTTTAAATCCGATTAGAGAGCAATTCCAGGGGCACCTGGGTGGCTCAGTTAGTTAAGCATCTGCCTTTGGCTCAGGTCATGATCCCAGGATCTAGGGATCAAGTCCCTCACTGGGCTCCCTGCTCAGCGTGGAGACTGCTTCTCCCTCTCCCACCTCCTGCTTGTGTTCCTGTTCCTGTCTCGCTCTCTCTGTCAAATAAATAAATAAAAGGGTAGAGCAGGCAGTTATTAGCAAAAGAAAAAAAGAATTGTTCCTGGTCAGCTGCTTCCCTTAAGGAGAAGGGCAGGAGGCCTTATTAGGTGGATGACCTGATCTTACTTTGTGAGAGGGCTCACGTGACAGATGACTCCATAGGTGCCAACCAAATAATCCCTGACTGAACAGTTAAAATTACATTTCTGAGGGGGGTTGAAACTGCAATTAGGTTACATACTCAGTCCCAGTTTAAGAACTTGGCCTGGCAAAGTGACTCCTTCTTGGGCTTGAGATTAAATTATAGAGAGAGACAAGGATAGAGACCTACTAGAAGAACTTGACTCATGTGATTATTATGGAGACTGAAAGTTGGTTCTAAGACCTGCAGTTGGTAAACTGGAGACCAGGAGAGCCTATGGCACACTTCAGTCTGAGGCCCAACACCTGAGAGGCAATAGAACTAACGGTGTAAGTTCTAGTGTGAGTCTAAAGTCCCAGCTTGAAGACGGGCAGAAAAAGCGAATTCTCTTCTACTGAACTTTTTTTTTTTTTTTAATTTAGGCTTTCAGTGGATTGGATTAGGCCCCACCCA